GGAAAACATCCATGTAGCTCAAGCAGAGGGACATTCAAATGCTTTTTGAGTAAAAGTCATTGCACCTACAGAGAATAATAGTAAAGGGCTCATGGAAAAGGCTCAAGAGCTCATGGAAAATACTGTGCTGCCAGGAGGGCCAGGAGAGGAAACCACGTGCTAGAGCAACGTGGTGTGTGGCAGCTTCCAGAGTGACCAGGACACAGGAGCACGCTGTGCACAGCCCCCACAGGCTCCTGCATTCCCATAGGAGTCACTGGATTCTCCTCAATTCTCCCAGTGTCTCCAGCAGAAGCTGCAGGACAGTTCCCAGGCATGTGCAACAGTTCATCCTCAACAGCCTGCTGCATTTGGAAATTAACTTTTCCCCTTTAAAAGTTGGGAAAAGGCAAAGGTGGGGAGTTGTGCAGCTCTGTTTCTAATGAGAATCAAACTACAAAAGCCAGAAAGTCAAGGGGATCTCAGGTGCCCAGCACCTAAGAGGACACTAGGGAAAATGCTCATCAGTAGGTGAGCAAACAAGCAGCTTGGCTGGAGAGGGCAGGGGGAAGCCCTGTAAAGCTTTTATTTGAAAAACAAACAAACAAAAATATATGTTTTTATCTTTATGGCTCTGCGACATCAAAAAATGATGTTTGACACTGCTAAATTTTGATGCTCAAGCCATTAACACCGTTAAAGAAAGACGGTCCCATGGCCTCTCCTCTCATCACCCTGCCCCACTGCCACCACAGACATCGTGTGGCCCCACGTGGAACTACGTTGTTGTTCCTTAAACGGGTTAAATTCAGGTCAGATCCCTAAACTGCTTAATTAGGAGCTGCAGAAACGCTCACGCTGTCGTTAAGGGAGGAAGCAGCACAAGAGCAGCAGGTGGAAGTGGGGAAGAGAGATGATGGGACTGCTTCTGCTGCTGGCTTAAGGCAGCAAGACAAAGACAAAATTTTTGAAGCACATCTTAAGCTACCAAAAGGAGCTTGCTCCAAAGCACCTCCCAGTCACTGGCAACTCGCTGCTGAGCCAGCAGTGCTGGAAGAGCAAACCCTGCAGGGTTCTGCTCACCTGGATGAGGGACACGGTGCCGTCGGGATTACTGAAGGTTTGTACCACCGTCTGCGATGGCACCAGGTGTGCTATACTGTGTGTGGCTGTGGTCTGCTGTTGTGTCTGCTGATCCTCGAACGCGTAGAGCAGGTCCTCGCGCCCGTGCTGCTTGTAGCAGTTCTTCACAATCATCCGCAACGCTTGGGTCCACGACACCTACCAGCAGAATTAGAAGAGCGAGTTAAAAAGGGAGTTTTCTGAGGCATTTTAGTGGTGCTGTGATTTGCATGCTTGTCCTCCATTCTTTAAAATAAATTCTTAACCAAAAACACCCCACCCCAAACCTAATTCCCTTCTTCTCATCCACCCCATTCCTCAAGACTCAGACAGCAGCCCAGAAAATTGCTGCATTTCTGTGTGTTGTTACAGAACAGGCGCATCAGGCCAAGGGGAAGGGGAAGTTTCTCAATAAAACCTGTTTCTCCGGCTGCTGAGGAATTCCAGCCAAGGGATTTGGGCTGACAAGCAGCAAAGTGCCCCTATCTAGGAAAGGGCCAACGGACGCAGGAGCATTTCCAGCCTTCCTAAGCATCCCTCCCCACCCGGCCGGAGGAGCATCATGAGAGCACAGGCCCATCGTGCAGGCAGGGGCAGAGCAGACTGGAGGTTCTGCCTCTCCCCTCGTTGCTCTCACACGTGGAGTCTCTGCCACAAAGTCGAGGAAGGGCCAGTGCAGCCGGTTCCTCTGTCACTCGAGGACAAAGCTATTCCCGAAAAAACTCCCACAAAAGCTATTCCCAAGCCCCCGCGCTCCATTTGAGGGCGGACGCACACGCCAAACGCACCCGCTGTTTCTGCTCCTCCGTGCGGACGTCGCTGCGGACGTTGGCCCACGGGATGTCCTCGGGCCACCAGATGGGCTTGCAGCTCTCCTTGCCCCAGCCTGGCTTCCCGCGGCCCGTGGAGTACTTGAGCATCTCGGGGATGAACGCTCGCAGCTGCGCCTGCAAGGAAGCACAACGGGGCTTGGAGGGGTAGGAACCTGCAGCTCTGCTGCCTTGGAGATCCACTGGAATTACACTTCATTTCCATCCTGCTGGACTAGTCACTGGAAGAGGCCTGAGCTCCTGAGATAAGCAACCACGTTCACCATCAGCAAGCAACACTCAGCTGAGAAGAGCTTAGGAAGAGCAGAAACAAAACGAAGCCAGGCAATTAGAACAGTAAGGCATGAACAGCCACGGTACTGAGGCACTCTATGGTTCAAACACCTGTTTGTTCCTCAAGGTAAACTGATTTACAGGCTCTCTGTTCTGTTATAGTCTGTACTAGACTCCCTGTAGCGTTTTTTGTCAGGTGCAGCACAGAGGAGTGTTCTGGAGGAGCAGGGACATGTGGGATCTCTCTGCAGAAAGCCTCGAGCCCCGCCGCACGCTGCCCAAAGCTGCTCTTTCCAGCTGCAGATCTGCTCTGCAAAGCCAGGGGACCAGGGGGGCAGATGTCACACTGGCCCTGGCCTGCAGGAGGAGAGAACCAAAGGGTGATTAAATCTGGAAAACTTTCTTTGGACACGTGGTTTGTGCCCAGCAGTGCCCAGCCTTTGAAGGCCATCAAAATCCGACGTATTTTGGGGCTCTGCACCGAGTGCTGCTCAAAGCATCAGCTGAATTTTGGCTGCTCCAGCCCCCCTGAGCTAACTGTGAGGTCAGTAGCAGGCCAGGACCACCTGGGGAAGGAGCAGCCCCTCCAGAGCAATCCCAATTCTCCGAGCTCATCCCGAGGCAGCGCAGAGAAACCCCCCTTATACCTCAGGGCACTACGTGGTCTCCCCTGCCCTTCCACTGCACCCTGCACCGGAGGGAAAGCTCCCTAACAGAAACCAAGGCAGGGAAAACCCACCGCGGCCACGCACAGGTAATGTCAACCATTTCAGGGTCTTTTTTTGGAGTTGTCTGGTGCCAAAAGAGCTAAAAGGTCCTTTCCTGAACTGCTCTCAGCAGTCAGGCTACCAGCCGGATTAATCCCTGGTCCTGGGGAGCTCAGCGGCTCAGGCTACTCAAGGCACTTGTTAAGGAGCGTTGCCTCTAATCCACCCGGGAGATAATCAGGAGCAGCTCTGCAACCTGCTCCAGCGCCAGGGCCTCCCTAATGAGCGTCCTAACGAGGCCGCAGCCGGCGGCTCAGCCGGGGCTGCTCCGAGGAGCTCCGAGGTGGCTGGGAAGGGGCCGGGGCCACCGCTTCGTCCCCTGGAGTTGCACCCAAATGGCTGCTAAAAGAGGACATGAGCTCCCTCTGGTTTCCACTGACATCAGCTCTGGAAGGAGCCTGCATGAGCTCCAGCTCGGGAGGCATGAAAGAAGCTGTAAGAAATATTTCTTTGAGACTTTTGGTTTCAAGTCCAAGTGCCTTCTACAGATCAACGTGAAACTAAAACCTTCAGGGAGGTCAAGCAATCCTGATTCCACCATCTGCAGTGGCCCCAAGCACAGACAAGTGCCCTCAAGGCCTGGGGACAACCAGCCCCGCATGAGGAGCAACGGTCAGGCCTTAACCTCTATGTTCTCCAAGGAAAGGGGGTCCTGCAGCAGAGCCCAGCGGTAACAGGAACCCTCTCCTTGCCCTGTAGCCCAGCGGTGAGGATCCCCAGAGCAGCCTATAGTGGGATACACTAAAAGAAGTCAGATTAAAGCACAAATGATCTGTTCAGGAAAGGATAAGCAACTTGCAGTGACCCCAGTGAGAGCCAAGCGGCCACAACTCGCCAGCCTCGCTCCTTAATGAGGGCAGTGAGCAAGTGAGAACAAGGTCATGGCCAAAAACAGCCCTGAACCAAGTGGCCAAGTAGCCAGAGCGAGTGGGAATGGAGATTCCTGCAGCAAATGGATGCATTCCTAGCTGGGCAACAGGTTGTAGCAGTTTTGGAGTCAGCTGTACCAGTTGCTCTTTCAAATTGCTGCTGTGGCAGAGAAATGGCTGCTCCATGACTTCGTATTCAGCATCTCTGTGTTTTGTTTCTTTCTAAAGTTTGCCCATGAGTCTTGCAAAGACTATAGGGCTACAGGAGCTGGACTTTTTGGGCAACGAAATTATTAGCTAAGTTGCACCTCTTTACTCCTTGCAAATTTTACAGGGTGGAAGACCTGCTTTGTGGAAATCCACCCGAGATTTTGCAGTGCTGCCAGTGAAACGTAACGCTCGATCCTCAAGCAGCCACCCAAGGACCTCAAAGCACTTCAATAACATTTACAAAACGGGCAGGCAGCTGCCCCACGGAGGCTCTGATAAGCAGGGAAAGGCAGGGTTGCCAAACAGGGCACAAAAGCGTGCAGCGTGCCCACCATTTGGAGCATGGAAACCTGCACAGTTTTCAGTCCCACGTTGCCCCGAGCAGATCACTGCTCCTCCTAAGGAGCTGCTCGCTTTAGCAGGGCGCGAGTTGCGCTGCTGTTGCATCAGCAGTTTGCACGGTTGCTCCTGGAAGTTCAGAGCTGAACGTGGAGGGAAAACATCACTCATCACTTAACGGAGCTGCAAGGAACCTGGGGGCGCAGGAGGCTGGTGCATGGGACCGGCTAGCGAAGCCCTGGTGCTCCAGGTCAACCGTCCTTCGCTTAGTGATGAGCCCGGATCCGGCATCTGTGTCCTCCCTATCCTGGTGCTGCACAAAGACAGTCAACTCTTTGGGAAAAGAGGGTTATTTAACTTATGTCCCGCATATTCCCCATCCTACAGCAGTCTTCCCTAAACCGAGGAAGACTGGATTCAGCTCCTGTAAGGAATCTTGCATCTTCCCTGGCAGCAACAGGGAAAAGCCCTCAGCACCTCAGACTGCAGAGCTGCCTCCCACATGGAAACACAGAGCAGTCAAATGCCAGGAGCAACTTGGCTAGGCCTGATCTCCCTGCAGCATCTCCCAAAGACCAAGGCCATGTCATGTCTAGAAGGAGAAAAGAACCCTGCTTTTCTCTAACTTGACAAATATTTGTATTTTATTCAGGGAATTTAGGGATAGAGGTTGCATAGCCATGTCTAGAGGGGAGGTAGGAAACACCTAAGCAATCCTTGGTGTTAAAATACTTAATTTCCATCTCTGTCACAAGGCGAAACAAAACTATGTGCATTATAAATCCCCAGGAAGGCTTCTCTGAAGTGAGAGCTTGCCTCTTGCATTGCTGTTTTGACAGCACATGCACCATTAGCAGCCAAATATCTGACAGATCTTTTTATTGGTCTTTTTATATCCATGCATATATTCTGTGCATTGCAAAGCACAGATATGTTATTGTGCTGCAGCTACCTCACACTCTGGGTCTTAGCCATCCACCTCCCCCTCTAGTCTCGCCTCCTTGGCCCCACTCTACTTGTGACAGCGCCTTGTTTTGTTCCTTCTCAGAGCCCCCATGTATCTTCTCTTGCATTACTCTAGAACATCCTCCCTCTGCTGGAAGAAAAACTCGATTTTAGCATCTCTTTCTCACTGTTTTAAGTCTTGGGCACTTCTTCTTGTTTTACTTAGGCTTAATTACTACTACCCCAGGGAAGAAGATGTCCCAACGGCTGATCCGTCCACGCCAGGAATCTTCCCCTCGCAATAAGGGGTATCACCCCAGCAAAGCTGGGCCTGGAGAGAATGGGAGTCCCTGCTTCCCTAGGCTAGATGATTCCCTGTCTCCATTAGATGCAACTCAGTCCCTATTCCCAAAGTGGGAAAGTAGGATTGAGCTGAATTTAAAACACTGGGAGCAGAGAGGAGCTTGTCAATCTACATCACAAAGAGCAAGAGGGAACAAGCTAAGGAAACAAGAAGTGTCCAAGGAGGACAAATCCATTGATATTCTGCTCAGTCCAGAGACCTCCTTGACCTCAGTGCTGGGGAATTACTGCAAAGTGCAGGACAAATAGCTTCTCTGTTCATAATTCATGGGCGGTGACAAAAGCAGCTCACAGGGGAACGTCCCCAGCAGCCTGAACTCTAGCCCTCGATGACATCTCTACAGTTTCATGTAGAAAATGAGCACCAATGACAAAGCTTCACATCTAACTACTACCTGAGCTCCTACAGTCCCATGAGAGAGACCAAACGCAGCCCTTGGAGATGCAGACAGAAGCTCCGGCGCAAAACACCAGGGTTTCACCATAAGGTGCCAAATCCCTTCCTTGGTCCTTCCAACTTTCTGCCCCTTCTGGCTGCTCACCTGGGTCATCTTGTCCACGGAGACGGGAATGCCATCGATGGTGAGGGGCGGCAGCTCCGAGTTCACCTCCTGCGGCGCCGGCGCGTGCTCCGCCAGCGCCGACTCCAGGTCTTCCAGGATCACGCTCTTGCACTTGCGGACCTGCGGGGAGTCGTTAAGCTGGGATAAACAAGGCGAGGAGCACCGGGAGGGCCGAGGTGCCAGGTAACGGGAGGCAGCGCCAGCCCCGCGGTGCCGCGGGACGGAAGGAGCAAACAGGGCCCGGCGGGTAAGGAAAAAACACCCGGCGGCCCCGGAGACTCGTCTGCAACAAAGAGCTGATGATGAAACAGCAGGTAATATCGGAAAGTGGAAGTATTTATGGGATTTAGAGAAAAGTTTGGGAGCAAGAGCCATCGCAGGCGGGAACTGCTCTGTTCTCTGATGGTCTGTCCCACAGACTGGCTACCAGGGAAGAGCCCACCAGTTCTTTCTTCCCTCCTCAAGCTACTAAGGCTGAAAAGGACCCCTATCCTGAGCATTAATACGCTGCAATGCAGCTACTTTATGGTGCAGGTGCCCTGCAGACACCCACTGAACTTCCAATACAGATGCTGTGGAGGGGGAAATTTCAATCAAGAATATTCAGCTCCTGGAAGCAGAGCAAAATAATCAATATTTATGCAGAAAAGGCAGGTCTAGATTAATGTCCATACAATTTCGCCTCCTATTTCCAGGGTTTTAACGGTGGCATTTAGGTCGTTGCCAGGCTTGCACAGCTGCGTTGAGCCATAACGAAACCCGCAGAAAGGACGAGCATTTGATTATTATTTTTGTTTTCCTAGGGACACCTACCACATTCTCCAAGGGTGCAGCACCAAATACTTTGAAGACAGGATTGGGCTTGGAGGGAGAGATGCACAGAACGATGGCCTGCTGCCCCACGCGGGTGGTGTATTCGTCCAGCGTGGCTCGGAGCTTCCTGAAACAGAGGCAGGAAAAGTCAACAGGAGCTGAAAGCCCAGTCCAAACACCACGCTTCCCACTCCAAACTCCCCTTCCTAATGCTGCTTATTCACCAATCAAGTGAGAAAAGCAGCCCCAGTTGGTTAAATTAGCCACATACCGGTTCCTCCGCTCCCTTCAGCCACACAGCAGCTCAGATTATTACCAATTATTCCCACTCTCCTTCATTTTTTCACTGATGTAAAAAGGGAAACCAGTTCAGCAAACTAAGGACAACAAGGTCTGCTCTGTCACTGACTGAGCATACATTGGGGATGGACAACTTTGAAGGCAAAGTACTCAAAGTGATTTAACTTCAGCCCCAACAGAAGACCATGCAGGGTGTGGGTACCACCCTCCTCGAACCGGAGCGGAGAACACTCAGCTGACAACTACGTGCCAGGCAAGAACAGGAAACATTGCAACAGCTACCGGCAGAAAACCTGTTATTCAGCTACCTGCTGCACCAGCAGGTCCCTTTGGAACGGTGTTTCCATAGGAAGCACCATCATATCCTTCCCTCAACTTACCAGCCTTTAAACAAGGCAGAACAACACGTCAGAAACTTCTGCAGATACTTGTAAAGCACAAACGAAGCAGCAGAAATCACTGCGAAACGTCAGGATCGCCACGAGTGACAATTTATGAGTTACACTGGCTGTTTCAGAACCTCACCGAAACACTGGTTGTTTCGGTGGTTGTTTCAGCTGTGCAAAGATGGTAAAATCACGAACTGAAACTTCCCATTTGGTTCATAATAGTGCAAATACCAAGCACCAACATTTCAAACTGATCAGAGCACAGGAGGATGATGCGTTTGTTTGGATTTTACAAGGCACCTGCACTTGCACGCAAGGAAGAGCAGCAATTCCTTTACACAGGAGTTTCTTTAGGAATACACTGGCTGCATTTCAATGAACACAGATGGAGCAGCAGCACTGGGGAAGGAGAGAATCACAGAGTGGACCTTGGAAAGAGGGGATCTACTCCTGGGAATATGATTTAACACTGACCCTGCTGTCTGTCTTTTCAGCTTGATCACGTGCAAAGGATGTTTTATGACTCAGCAGGAGGAGTAAGCAGAATCTAACGAAACCAACTTCGTTTCTCAACAACTCTACAAGAGCTACAATAGGAAAGATGGAGAAAGGTGAAACTGGCCAATATTATTTCAGTGCATTGAGTGTGCAGGCAGAGGGGAAGGAAGCCAGCCAGTTGCAGAGGGTGACAAAACTTCAAACTTTAGAGTGATAAATTAATGAAAAGTTAAAAAAAGAAAAAGAAAAGCAAAAATTGTCTTGTTCTAAAGCTTTCTTTGCCATTCCGGAGCTGGGATATGGCTGTAGCTCCAGATTCTTAGGAGAGCTGTTGTTAAAGGCACTAGGACCATGTGATAAGGTGAGGTTACCACGACAGATCTGACTTGTGACTAGGTGGGATTAAAACAGGATGGAGAACGCTCATGTCAATCCGGCGGACACACCACCACATTAATAGTATTTGATGTGCAATTAATCCATTTATGCACATTAAAACAGAGCTCTTGGGTTCCAGAAGATGCCAACGAAGCCCCAGGCTGAGCGTGAGCAGCGCTCCCATCACGACCGGCACCGGAGAGGCGTGAGGACACCGGCGGGGTGGCAGCGTGCGGCGCGGCGCCCTTACCGCAGCAAACGCGTCTGCTGCCTCTTGCGGATGGACGGGTTGGACTCGAACACGTGGGGCCGCTTCCGTTTCTTGCCCGTTGCCACCGCAGCGGCTGCGGCCATTCCCACGGGGCCTGCAAGCAGAGCAGAGCGGGTGGACGGGCGCACGGGGACGGCGCCGCTGCCCCCCGCTCCCTGCCCAGATCCCTCCTCTCCAGGAGCGGAGAAGGGAATCCGAAGGCTCCATCATCCCCACCAAGGTGAGGGTGGAAGCCACGTTTCGCTCTGGAGTTCTCATAAGTGCAAATTATAATAAGTGCAATTCTGCAATTAAAATAAGTGCAATTCTGCATGTGGAGCTGGAAACTTCCAAGCGCTCCAAGAGCTGAAGCAGGGAAGAGGGGAGCTGCAGAGCCAGGGATGCTGCTCGGACACCCCGATCCCAGTCGGGAAACCCGCTCACAACCGGCGTTGTCCCCTGCGAGCGGCAGGGCCATCCCCGTGGCGTCGGGGCGGCGCGGCCGGGGCTGCGGCAGCGCTGCCGCCCGCTGCCCGCGCCGGGAGCTGCAGCTCCCACGGCCGGGGAAGAGCCGGGAAAGGAGGGGAGGAAAAGGCTCCCAGGAAAAATGTCGGGAAAAAATCCAGGAAAAATAAATCCCAGGAAAATTTTTTTTTTCCCTCACTAAGGAAATTAGAAGCATCACTTTGCTGTTTACCAGTTGATTTTCTGTGCTATAGGTGCCAGTTTTAGAAAACTGTTTTACTTTTAGGACCAGCTTAGGCCTCTTTGTACTATGTTCCTAGGAGTGCATATAGGCATTCATGAAGCTATACAGTATAGTTTTCTGAGGTCAAATGTCAGACTGTGGGAGTGTAGTGCAGTATTGCCTGGCTGACCTGATGAATTGTAGAAAAAAAAAAGAAAAAAAAAAAAAAAGGCTTGGGGAAAAAAAAGGCCAAAAAAGGAAAAAAAGTCCATAGGAAAAATCTGAGCTCCCGCCAAACCCAGTGGGTCAGGGGAATGCAGGGCTGGGGGCTCAGAGAGGGACTCGGGCTCCAGGGAAGAAGGAGGGAGCAAAAAGCTTCCAAGAAAAACATCCCGTAAAAATAAAT